TGTTTTAGTTGCTCACCCTGTGTCTCGACAATTCTTTCGAAGCAGGGTGATGAGGTTAAAGCAAGTGGCGATAGTCGAGGTTATACCGCCGAGACGCCTTTCAGTTTTCGGCTCTGGCATCGAAAACGTCCAATCAAATTTGAGCGGGAGGACGAATAAATTGTTGAACCGGCACAGCAGAGCTCCGACTGTCACTGCAGTGCTCTTCGAGGTATGGGAGTGACTCCGAAACATGCCTCGCCTGTAGTTTGTTGCACTTGAACGCCAGTTTTCTGGCAGCAGTTTATTTTTATTGCACGGTGTTTGGAAAGTCACCTACATGGTTGCTAGGTATCGTAAGCTGATTGTCAACCAAACCTCCCCCTGCCGCCTACAGGAGTTGTCCCGGATGCAAGCCCAGGGGAATTAGCCCACCAGCAAAACAAGTCCAGCAACAAGTCCGACTGTGGACGGAACCCACCCAAGCACTACGCCAAGCGCGCCAACGACAACGCCGCAATGCTTGCGCTCGCGAACGGCCTCGAGTACCGGGTACGGAAGTACAACTTCAGCGAACAGAAGCATGAGATTGTTTCGGTGTCACCCGGGGCTGGGGGCGTCCGCCTCATGTCCATGCATGCCCGGACCCTCGGTCACGACCGCGTACCCACGGACGTTCATGCGACAGAGACCCAAACAACGGCGCAGCTGAAAGGCCAATTTCCGGGATCAGCAATCTGGTCGGCACACCTGTACAAGGACAACGATGTGCAGGTCGACGATGGGTCATGGGGTGCTCGCGTTTCTGGGGGCAACTTTCGCCCCGACGAGGCGGCATTGATCGCGCAGTACAAGGTGTATTACGGGTGCGGAGGGGATGAGCAGTGCAGCGACATTCGGTGCCCCTTCTGCTGGGATGAGGAGGACACCTTGGACAGTAGCCTGCTAGAATGTTCGAGGCACATGCGCGTTGCGCAGGTAGTGAGCTGTGGCCAGGGGCGGCTGAAGGGTGGCGACGTCAAGGCCGCCGCACGACCTGGGCCGCCTGATGACTGGGCGTTGGGGCAGGGGCAGGCAGACGATGTCGAGATATTCAACAAACCACCGCCGACGGGCGACCATGGACCGCCACCAGCAGACCAACTCACCCTCAGCAAGATCATCTACTTCTTCCGTCAACGAGGAAACAAGAACTCCTTGAGCGGGGAGCCACCACCATTTACGTGGTGGGTACTCGCTTACGAGTACGTCGGGGTCGGCCATGGTAACGAGCGGGTGCCCGATTCCATCACCAGGCATCCGACGTTGTCACTGCGGGGACGGGGCCGTCCTAAGGTTTACCTTGTACACGCCATCAGACGCCAGGTACAAATGTACCACCAATGCCCGCAAGGCCAAGATGGTGCAGAGGGGTCTCGGCTTTGCGGGGAAACGCAGGGGGCGGGCAGCGACCGTGTCTCGCGGCGCAAGTTCCGGCTCGCATTACCGGGGTCCAGCAACGGCTACGACAAGTACCTCTTGAACGAGGACACATTTGTCTGAACGATCGTGGAGTTCTTCGAGGAATGTGAGACTCAGAAGAATATGACAGTACCCTCTGAACAGCAGTTGTTGTTGCTGATGTCGTTGTTGTTGTTCTAGTGGATGCTTGTTAGTTGCACTAGGGTAGGTGGTGCGTGAAAAACTTAAGCGAAGCGATCTTACACTTTCCTGTATGAACTTTGGGAGTATGAACCGTAAAATGAGGTGCTTGCGCATTGCGAACAACGGCACCGCAGTCAGATTCGCAGTATCAATAACAATAATGCCCCAACGCCCACATGTCTCTTGGCGCCACACAGACCAGCGAAGTTTTTCGAGGGCAGCGATTCGGCACGGTCAACAACAAATGCTGGTGTGGAGGCCTAACGATGGCCGGCCTTCGGCTTATAGGTGTACAGGTGTGCGTCTGGATGTGGTGTTCACAGCTAGCTGCAATGCCGGAGATAATGGGGTGGGGAGGCAGGGCGAAACCCTCACGCGTCGATGCCAACTGTGTTGAGGGTCTTGTATAAGAGTGAAGGTGCAATCCACGGCTTTATATAGATTTGTCACCTACTGTAAGGTGCGATTCTCAAGATGTAGTTCCGGCTGGTATGCCGCTGCCCGAAGATACAACTAAGCGTTCTTGTTGTAGCAACCATACCTCAACGCATGGACTGCCGCCATGGCGTAACACGATACTCCATGTAGACACGTTCAAAAGTACAATAGCATAGCGCATCTAGCACTGCTCTCGGGGGGAGAAAAATCTTGTGTAGCCTCCGAATCAGAGGGCTTAATTTCGACAGGACTTCGAACATGTTTGCCAGAAGCCCATTTGAGGGCGCGAAAAACTCCGTATGCAGGTGCATGATTCAACTACGATTGGTCATCGTGCTGTACCGGCAAAAATACAAGTACATCGCCAAATTGTTGTCGGTATGGTAGGTAGGGGAGCTTCGTTTTATGTTGACGAAGCTAATCAGCTTTATTTCCAAAATGATGTATCCCTAGCCCATCGATACGACTCCGGGATAACTTTCGCGACGAATTGGCGGTGTACCTCGTGGTATTAGCGGACACCCCAGCGGCTCCCAGAACATCAAGGACGAGGACGGTAAGGTCCTTCGGGACCCCACGCTTACCCGCCAGCGGTGGGCGCGGTGGTTCCACAAGCTCCT